TCTTACTGAGAATCGTATTCTATCCCGTTACCAATCTGGTTTTCGTTCTTTACATTCTACTGTAACCGCATTACTCGAAGCTACCGATAGCTGGGCAGTGAACGTTGATCGTGGCCTTGTCAATGCCGTTGTCTTCTTAGACTTAAAAAAGGCTTTCGACACAGTTGATCATCATATCTTATTAACGAAATTACAATATTATGGATTACGCGGTTCCTGTCACGAATGGTTTACTTCGTATTTAAACAATCGTACCCAAACTTGCCAAATTAATTGCTCAATGTCAAACCCAAAATTAGTTACATGTGGTGTTCCCCAGGGAACAATTCTTGGACCTTTATTGTTTTTACTGTATATTAATGACCTACCTAATTGCTTGCATTTTTCACAACCTAGAATGTATGCCGATGACACCAGCCTAACCTATGCCAGCGCAGATTTAAAACTCATAAATGACTGCGTTAACGACGATTTAAACAAGGTGTATATATGGCTATCGGCTAACAAACTGACCCTTAACTTGACTAAAACTGAGTTTATGTTAGTTGGGTCGAGGCAGAAGCTATCAAAGCTTTCTGAAACTCCTTCTTTTATGATAAACGACCATCCCGTGATGCAAGTGTCAACGGCAAAATCTCTTGGAGTGCATATTGACCAAAACTTAAGCTGGGAATGCCACATACAGAGTATTTGTAAAAAGATTGCTTCTGCTTTGGGTGCAATTAAAAGAATACGACATCTTATTCCTTTTAATGTATTAATTAATGTTTACGACAGTTTAATTCAACCGCATTTTGATTACTGTAATGTCGTATGGAGCAACTGCGGCATTGGTCTTTCCGATAAGCTGCAGAGGCTCCAAAATCGTGCAGCCCGTATTCTAATGTCCGCTAATTCTGATTGTAATGTGGACGATTTGTTCCTGGCACTGGGTTGGCGTAAGCTTAAACACCAAAGACAAGTATCGACGGCTATTATGATGTATAAAACCGTACATGGGATGACTCCCGACTATCTAACATCTAAATTTGTATCTCGTGACGAAATAACTTCTTATCGATTGAGGAATACTGAAAATAAATTAGTCCTTCCACTGCCCCGTACCAATTATTTAAAGAAAAGTTTCTCCTATAGCGGAGCTAAGCTGTGGAACAGCCTATCCCATGATTTAAGATCTGCAGATTCTTTACATGATTTTAAACGCAAACTGTGTCGCAACAGTTTTGAATGAGATCATACATTAATACAGTTTTACAAGGCATCCTTGAAAAGCAGCTTTTATTTGTAAATAGCTAGGTAGTTAAAATTTTATGAATATATTTTTAATCAGAGTTAGTTTAGTTAGGTATAATAGATCTTAGATTTTTTTTTTCTACATGCTGAAGGAATCTTAACCGTGTTTAAATAAAGTTATCTATCTATCTATCTGTCTATCTATCAATCTATCTATCTATCTATCTATCTATCTATCTATCTATCCCATGTTATGGAAGATGGATCAGAAAGACCTGTGGCATACGCCTCGCGCACACTCTCTACGGCAGAGAGGAACTACGGTCACCTAAATAAAGAAGCACTAGCTGTAGTTTTTGCTGTGAAAAAGTTCTACCAATTTCTGTATGGTATTTACACAGATCACAAACCACTTTTGGGGCTGCTACACCCTGAAAAAGCCACGCCCTTAATGGCCTCAATCAGGATGCAGAGGTGGGCATGGACTTTGCTAGCTTATGAGTATGAACTGCTGTATCGCCCAGGAAATGAGAATGGTAATGCGGATGGAGTCAGTCGCCTACTCGTTTTGGATGTCCCGGGGTCCACATCCGTCCCAGGGGACATTGAACACCTCCTAGAAACTATCAACACCAGCCCAGTAGATGCTACTAAGATAAAATTGTGGACAGCCCGCGGTCATAGTACCCCCTCGAGGGAGAGAAGAGGTGTTGAACATATTACACGATACTCACCCGAGAATAGTCAAAATGAAGAGTTTAGCCAGGAGCTATGTATGGTGGCCAAAAATGGACACGAATTTAGAAGAGAAGGTGAAAGGTTGTGCTACTTGTCAGAGTCAGCAAAAGACTCCTCCCTGTTTGCCATTACACCCTTGGGAATGGCCGGGCCGCCCTTGGTCGCGAGTGCACGTAGATTATGCGGGGCCTTTCATGGGAAAGATGTTCTTGCTGATCATTGACGCCCATTCAAAGTGGATGGATATCCACTGTGTGAACTCTGCCACCTCCAGTGTGACCATAGACAAGATGAGGTCAACTTTCGCTTCACATGGTTTACCACAGATTGTAGTGTCCGATAATGGATCCAATTTTGTGAGCAGTGAATTTAAGTCATTTTTGCAAAAAAACGGCATCAAGCACCTTACCTCAACACCTTACCACCCAAGTACAAATGGTCTGGTTGAGCGAGCAGTACAGACCTTTAAGCAAGAGATGAAGAAACAGGATGACGGTTCTGTTGACACCAAGTTGGCTAGTTTTCCTCTAAGCTACCGGATTACCCTGCAAAGCACCACTGGTGAATCTCCAGCTCAGTTACGGTGGGGACGTAGTCTTAGGTCTCACCTCGATCTGCTGCGACCGGATGTAGCGACAAGGGTGCATTTGGCTCAGTCTAGACAAAAGAAACTGCATGATCAGCATAGCCGAACGCGCGGAGTGAAGCTTGGTGATGCCGTGAGTGTCAGCATCTACTCCCGGGGGTCGAAGTGGGTCCCTGAAACTATCATCCAGGAAACCGGCCCTCTGTCTGCGCGAGTTGAACTAGAAGATGGAATGGTAGTTCGGAGACATCATGACCAATTAATTTCTCGTACTACAGAGCCTCTTTGCCCCAGTCCAACAGCTCAAAGGGCAGGCCATAGCAACGAGGGACGTGTTGTTCCGGAGGTTGCAATACCCGATGTGAATAGCCCTGAAGTAACCTGTGGGGAGTTGGAGCCACCCACTACACCCGAAGACCCAAGCTTAGTCCCTGCCACCCCGGCGCAACGATATCCAGTAAGGGAGCGAAGACCACTACAGCGTTATTACTGATGGACCCCTCCTGCCCCAATGAACATTTAGTTCCAGGCGAGATTCAACATATTGTTTAAGAACTTGAGGGGGAGGAATGTGCGGTCCTGGGAACTTGTTGGGGGTCACGTGACCCCTGTCGTGTTGTTCTGTTAGTCCGAACCATGTGCTTGTTGACTCGTTGTGTTCCGTGAGAGTATTTAAGCTGTTTAGTCGCTCGATACACTACACCCAGCAGTCTAAAATGTAAACTATGTAGGTCTCTCTGTTTTTCACGAAAATCTGAACTTATCAAATATCTGGTACGACTACGACTCTTTCTACCGCGGCACAGAAATCGAAATTTCTAAACAATTATCAAATTTTCTTTGAGGAATAGATGAGAATTCTTTGAAAACATTTACCGGCTGGGCTGCAAATAAGGTATCGAGACACGGCGTTTAAAAGTTCTCCCATTCTCCGCTCTGCTTCAATCCTTTGCACATGAGCAATGTTTTGATTTGTTCTACATTATATTTTCTTGGACGTTCCTCGAATTTCGAAACTGGAACGCTCCTAAAAACGCTAAGGCGGCGAGTAGAACTGATTGCAAACTGTGCGTTTCCATACAGCGTTCTTGCGACCCCTAGCAGAAATGGCCAATGTTTGTCTTTGATTCAGACGACAAACTTGTCATGAACCGAACCTAATGCATAAATAAGTATGACGTATTTTGTAAGTAGTTTGACCGAAATGAGCATTTTTCTCCCTTTGAATTTAGTTCTGCGTCTGAATCAATTCAGCCGGTCTAAATAATAGAAACTGTTGCTGGGAACTTTGCCGAAACGCTTTTCTGGCTTTGGTTTATCATTTTGAATGCCAACGCTGGCTGGAAAAAAACTCTGGCTTCCTGCGGTTTTTAAGCCTCCCCGCAGACGTCCCTTGGGGTTCGTTCGTCGCGCATTCATGAACGAACCCCAAAGGATGTCTTCGGGGAGGCCTTCTCTGACATTGCCCAGAACAAAAATTATCATAAGGGAAAAACCCCCTTAGAGGAGACAAAAATCGCATCCCACATTGCACTCCGGCTCTGTTAAGTATCGTGATGTCGTTCGGCCATTGCACTGACCATTGCACTACCGGGTCCGTGGCTGGGGGCGCCTGAAAAAAAAAAAATGTACTGCGAGAAGGGTTAATAAAGTTAGAAAAACGCAGGGCTTTCTTAATTAACCATGCTTAAGGTACCATACAATTAATCTCCAAATTATGCTCTTTACCAATAGATCCAATTTCCTGCATAATAAAATGGCATTCATAGCCACGGATATGAGGGACGGACTATTAGAAAACTTATGGGGGGGGGGGGGCGGCCGAAGTACAAAAAAGAATTCGCGCAAGGGAAAATTAAATGACAAAAAATTCATGCAAGCCAATTACCCTAAAAAATATTCATGCCACGGCCTAAAAAAAATCATACAAGGAATTTTATAACGAAAAAAAAGTTCCTGCGGCTCAAACATTCCCCACCCTCCCCCCATAACTTTTCTAATGGTCCGTCCCTTATGAAAGATGACAGGGATCTTAAACTCTTTGGGTTAATCCTTAACTTCAGGTTACAATATTGGTGTGCAGATCCCTTATAACTACTTGTAATATGGCAATGATCCCTGACCCCGATATCTTTATTGGTTGTATGCCTGGTTGCAAATATGACACTCCTTAGCTGCTTGAAAATGTTGCTCATCCTCATCACTCATCTTTAATAGTAGCAATAGTCTTTTGGCAGTACTGCACCTCTTTTAGCATCTCTTGCATAAACTTCTTGATTGGTGCCTCTCCTCTGTAAATCTGCACCGTATATTTATCATCATAGCAACAAACCACTTTGTATCCGTAACTGCAGCCAGTATGTTTCTGGTATGATTCAGTACATGACTGGGTATTATTAGGCTGGCACCCTTGTATTTTTTCTGTAATGGCTTCAAAATCAGCTTAGATTACAATTGGCACTGACATCTGCTTGTGATCATTGTGGAATTTCGATGTACTCTTACCTTTCTCTAGCATCCTGATAGTCTGCTCACCGTTGGTAACCATACAGTTGGTCTTATGCTCGGCAAGTATCTCTTTGCTGCCAAAACATTGCAGGCAATGCATACAAAAATGCTTTCTGTGTTCATGCTTGGTCTTATGAAACATTAAGCTATTAAAGACCTTAATCAAAACATGTTTCTTCTCATCCTTTGTTATCAAAAGCAGGTTCAAAACATCTTCATTACCCTCTTTGGATACATAAATAGGGTAAAATTGTTTGTTTTCATAGCCAAAACCATTGATATTGATATAATTTTTCCACTCAAGTTTGCTATAATCTTTTACAGCAACAGGAAACTCAATACCCTCATAATACAATTCTAGTAATATCTCTTCATCCGATTTTTTGATCCGCTGGGGGGCTTTTCTTTGTGGATTTAAATTCCTAATATGGCACCAACGAAAACACTCATTGTCCTCATTTTTAATGTTAACCAAACCCTTTTTAGAATGTTGAAGTTCAGTTAGTAATGGTACATAAGAGGACCTTTTCAATGGGTCATACACAACTGTATTAATATATTGTTCATCAATGCTGTTAATAACCCATCCACTACCCTCAGACAGCCAAACAGCTATACCGTTTAGTATCTGCTGCTGCAACAGTTGCAGACTTGATATAAAATCATTGGGGTTGATTACAATCTGCGTCCTACTATTAAAATAGGCAGGCTTAAATATATCGTTATCATCTTTTCTCTTAATAAAGGTGACCTTAAGAGTCTCCACAAATTCGGAACCTTTAATCGACTAATTGCGAGCTTAGTATTTTGTAGCTGTACCAAGGCATCTCTATTGGACTTTAATAACATTTCAAATGACTGTGTAAAGCTTTGTAGAGCCCTTTCGTTTTTCATTAATTCTTGTCCTAGGGGCTGGTACTGGTTGTTGTTTCTTTGTTCTGGGAGCCAGAATAGGCCTATATGTGGGATAGGATCAGCCTAAAAATACTGTTCTAATTGTCGGACATTTCTTCTTGGTGTAGGAATTGAAGTCTTTCTTGGAGCCGGAATAGGGCGTGCTTCTCCCCCTCCTAATTCTGGGAGCAGGGATAGGACGTGCTGCTTCCCTTATATTAACAAGATTTTGGAGTTCACTCATTGTGATCCTCGATAATAGCCTTCTGATTAATTCATTACGATTGTTCATTATATTATTATTACCATATATAATATTTTTTCCTGGCATACGCTTATTTATAGAATGAGCCATTTCTTTAAGCCCTTTTACTTGGTCCCAAGGTCAAGGTCTGTTCTGACGTGTTGTGTACTCCGTTAACTGATTAAGAGCTGCTCGTTCGCAGATCTTAGACAGAGCGGGTAGCAGTGATACTGGCCGGTTGTTAGTAGCAACCTCATGATCTCCTTCCTTTAATATCGGTATCACCACGGACTCTTTCCAAGCAGATGGAAAAACTGATGTTAAAAGCGATCTATTTATAAGCTCTTAGTATGGTAATGTTTTTTCACTTTCAAATGTTTATATTGAATTTCTATTGTTCATATTAGATTTTATTGTAATTGGTATGTGAAAACCCATTTTAATTGGATGTACCAATAAAGTTGATTTGATTTGAAAATTTAAGGTCAAATTCCAGGGAAAGGGCGTGGTCATTTTCCTGGAATCAAAGGTCAAGGTCAAATGGGCGTGGTCCCAATGTCAAATCCAGAATATGGAAAATACGCCAAGACCGCCATATACTAAACTACTTCCAGATACTAATAAAAAAATATACTAAAAAAACAAAGCAATACAAGAAAATCTACAGCTACATACATAGAGGATATTACATGGCCGCGCGGAGATACGAAATTTCTCTTCGAGTGTTGAAAAATATTTCACTCGTTCGCTGCGCTCACTCGTGAAATATTTTTTCAACACGAGAAGCGGCCATGTAATGCTCTGTTTATTATATAAACACCAATGAACTACCAAACCATTTCACTTTAATAGTTTTTTGGTGTGAAAGGCGTGATTTATCATGAAGCCATAGCAATGGTGATATTTTCACATGTGAAGATATCAAGTTTTCGCGCGAAAGCTCACCTGGTATTTCATTGGTGTTTATATAATAAAACAAGTTATTGGACGAGACCAGGGACGAGCACTATTACATTTAAAACAGATAGACTTGAACGAACGTGGGTCTTCACAATCATAGGAAACAGCTAACGCGGACTTATAATAATTAAAAATAACCGATTTAAGGGAAGCTGAGGTCGATGAGCTCAAATCTAGTTCATCTGCTAAACAATTCCAAATTCCACTAGTTCGGATGAGAAAGGATTTCTGGTACGTAGTAGTTTTACATTTCGTAATTATGTATTTATTAACATTGCTGGTTGAGGATCTAGTGCGTCTACCGTATTTGCGAACTTCGTGTGTCTCTTTGAAACAAAAGGATAGATCTAGAAGTTCATGCCAGTAACAAATAGGTACTAGATTTAGAGTTTGTTAACGAGACTTATAACTTATTTTAGAAGAATAAGGCAGTTTTAAGATAAACTTAGTGGCGCGTCTTTGGATACGCTCAAGTTTGACAGTGAGCTCGATGGACTGCAGGGCACAAATTTGGATGGCATATCCCAAATGTGGCCTAACTAGGGCTAGATATAGCGTTCGTCTTACTTCGATTCTAAGTATGAACCTCGTGTTCCTCTTTAAGTATCCAGGTAGTTTATTTGCACGCGAAGATTGTTCGTTTACTTGTTTGTGCCATGTCAGATCCTTAGTAATCCATACGCCCAGATCTTTTTCTGCAGCATATAATTCAACTGCGAAGTTGTTGAGTTTGTAAGAGGATAAAATCAGCTTTGTTTTCCTTGTTATGTGATTTGGATGTGTCTGTCAGTATCTTCCAAATTGGAAATCTTTTAGGTCGTAATGGGGTTAAATGAGAATTTCACCGTAAGAGCTCCAAAATGTCCCGTTGATTATAAGCAAAGTAAGACGAGCTAAAAAAGGTGATTTTGAGGTGTGTGACAGGATTTTGCAAATTCGCCATGTTTTTGGTCGTAATGGGGTTAATTACGAATTTCACCGTTAGAGTTCTAAAATGTCACTGTGATGGTAAGCAGAGTAAGACTAGCTAAATGGGATGATTTGGAGTGGCTGGCGGTATTTTGCAAAATAGTCATGCCCCAAACGTCGATCTTATGATAAGCACCATAAAACTAGATTTCAGCGATGATTCAGAGGCGTGCGACATTGTTAATCAAATTGGCCATCTTCTGGGTAGTAATAGGGTTATGTCAGAATTACACCGCAAGAGCTCCATAATGTGGCTGTATGATAAGCTAAAAAAAGTGATTGAGAAGTGTTTGACAGTATTTTGCAATTGGCCATCTTTTGGGTCGTAATGGTGTTAAGTGAGAATTTCACCGTAAGAGCTCCAAAATGTCGTGCTGATTATAAGCAAAGGTAAGACGAGCTGAAAACGATGATTTGGAGGCGTCTGACAGCATTTTGCAAATTAACCATATTTTGGGTCGAAAAAGCGTTAAGTAAAGATTTCAGGGTAAGAGGTACGAAATGTCGTTCTGATGAGATTAAGATTACCTGAAAAATGATGATTCATAGGCGTGTGACAGTATTATCAAAATTGGTCATCTTTGGTTCGTAATGGATTTAAGTGAGAATTTCCCTTTACGATCTCCATAGGACTAGCTGAAAACAATACCAACCTTAAGTTCAGGTGGACGGCGACATAGAGGACGGTGATTTTGGCCGCGGTGGCTTGAGAAGGGACGGGTTGAAAAAATGGCGGGATTTAAAATATTTTATTGCCTAAAAATAAAATGTTTCCACTCATAACCTGGAAAGAACAGGCAATTTGTCTTCAAAAGTTGCAAGCTGTGGTTATAACCTTGTTGTTACTTAATTTTCTCGAAGAATACCTTATAGTAAAACGGACTTTAACGACATTGATTTCCTTGCGTTGTACTGGAAATATGCATGTGTAGGTCCGATTTTTTTCAAGATGCATTCACAAAATGTGTTCATACAGGAAGTTCCTGGATATATAAGGTCCGGAGCTCCACTGTGGACACAAAAACAACATACCTTTGGACAGTGATTTCCCCAAAAAAATTAACGCTTGCCCACAATGTGTTTGAAGTCACTGAACTTTGTCGCACTCGAGCTGATATTTTAAGACCCTCGCTCGATCGGACACTCGTAGTTTCGCAGATCACTAAAATATAAACAAAATCCTCAATGTAGAAGTTATTGCGTTGATATGTGGGCAGAGAAAAGGTCAATCTTTATCTAGTAAAATCTTCCCAAAAAGAAGAGTCGGTTTCAAAGCAACTATAGTTTTTTAAACTTGCTCGTTTCGCGCAGATATATTTTACTTTGTGTTGCCAAGTTGAACACGCATAACAAAAAACCTACGCGTAAGTAGGATTTCCTTCAAACAAAGTTAAAGTTACATCATTTCAAAAACGCCTTGCTGACAATGAAGAAATGAATTTTCTGTTCGAAAACAACCTACCTAAAGATCTTAAAAGATCAGTTGCAACTTGGCAGCCAAGCCATGATTCACCATTTAGCTATTTTGAGCTTAACTGGTCCATGCGAGGGTGTTCGTTTTAACCAAATTAAACTCAGCCGAACATTAGAAAATACAGAAAATTGCACAGTTAAGGGTTTGTTTTGCTCGCCTCAGTCAAATCCAGCTGCAGCAATTGTTTACGGGAAGAATCAATTGTTTTGAAGTCACTGCCGGCAGTTGTCGTTCTCTACTTCACAGCGAGTGAAAAGGACAATTTGCGTACAGAAAGTTATTCTTATAAAGAACAGAAACTTTCACAGTGCACTGGAAAACAATACTATGTAATGAAAAATGAAAAAAACTCTGACTACTATTACTTGAGCAACACCGGAAAAATGATCCTGAGTAAGCTTGCTGGCCTTCTATTTCCGAGAAAGTTTAATAAGCGCACAAGTTTGTTCACTTTGATGCGTTATCACAACAGCAATATGGTTCTTTGACTGAAGACAAAGATAAAACTGGTTCTGCAAAGGTAATAAATCTGGGCGTGTAAAAAAAAGTAACCTTAACTACTAATAACAGAATACAAGCGGGTTTTTATTCAACCCGGCGAAATCAACTCATAAATTAATCAGATGCACAATCAGAAAAAAAAAATACTGGCCTCTTTAAAAATGTTCAAAACCTTTTATTCCACCTCAGACTGACGGAATGATCCGTTTTTCCTTTAACATTGGTTGTTCTGAATCCAAAGTAATTTTCAAGTGACGAAAAAAAAGCAAACATGTCAAATAAAAATTATTTACAGGGAGAAAACGTTCGCACCTCGTGCACTTCACTCAGAACTCCAGAACAAACAAAAACAGTCAACACACAGAAAAGCCCGCCTTGAGCCTGCAATAAGGGATGCGCAGAAGCTTGCTCAGAACGTTTTTCCGCCCTGAAGTCTGAGTATTGGAAGGACACTAGTTTGTGGTCGTCCGGTATCTGTATTGTCTTAATGGCGTCAATAAAGTTCTCAGTAGACTGTAGTTAGTCTCTAGATTCGTCAGTAAGCGGTTTCAGTACGTTAGTTAAGTATTTAGACAGTTGGTAGGTTGGGGAACCACTGAAAGAAACTACGGGCCGCATAGGTATGTTGGGTTTGTGTAGTTTTGGTAGTCCATACAGCTTGGGTGGCTGCGGAACACTACATCTCAGTCTGTTGTAGCGTCGAAGGTCGATCTTGTCGGTTTTCTTCAGTGTAAGCAGAATGTTGGTAAGTTTGCGTTGCAGTGCGGGTGTCGTGTCTCGTTTAAGTACTTCGTAGGTCTGTTTGTCGTTAACAAGCGAGTCCATTTTGTCGTTGTAGTCTGTCTTGTCCATAACAACAGTCACCCGTCCCTTGTCTGCATGCAGTATGACTATGTTCTTGTCTGTTTTCAGTCGTTGAAGTTGTTTCTGTTCGTCAGGAGTCAAGTTACTGTTCGGTAATGAGGCTGATTGTAAAGTAAAGGTCACTCTACTTCTGATGTTTTCCTTGGTCGATTCTGATAGCTCGTGTTGGCGAGACAAAACGGCCTCAACGCTAGATACAATAGCCTCAGTAGGCCTAGCTACCTACACACGAACTGTACCTCTTTGGTTACGTTACGTTGACGACACTTTCACCGCCGTACACAAAGACGGAATGGACGATTTTCACGAACACCTTAACAGAGAGAACGCGGACATACAGTTCACCAAGGAGATCGAAGAAAATGGTAAGATACCTTTTCTAGACTGCTTGGTCAATCGCGACAACAACAAACTAAAAACGACTATTTAAAGAAAACCGACACATACCGACCGATTACTAGACCAGTCTTCGTACAATCCGACCTCTCACAAGGCTACCACCATCCGGACTGACGAGACGAGCGCAACTAGTTTGCGACTCACCTGACAGCCTACAAGACGAGACTGATTATCTTAACAACGTATTTAGTAAGAACAATTACAACACGGACTTTGTTAGACGGAACACTCACAGTAACACTGATTCCAACACTGAGACCAACTCTGGCCCTGTTACGACAGCGACTATACCGTACATCGAAGGAACCTCTGAAACTATTGCACGTATATTACAACCTGACAATATACGTGTTGCACACAAACCGATAACTACTTTACCTGACTTTACGGCGACTGCTTACTAATGTCAAGGACAAAGACAAACCGGAGGACAGACAGGGAGCAGTATAGAAGATCAAATGCTGCGACTGCCAGGCTTCTTACATTGGTGAAACCGGCAGAAACCTAAGCACGCAACTGACCGAACATAAACGAGCGACCAGGAATGGTGACGTCAACAATCACATTGCTGAGCACCATTTACAGAACAAACATCAAATTGACTGGGTCTCTGCGACATGTATAACGTATTCTACAGACTACTATTAACGTCTTACTTTAGAAATCTGGTTTACTAACTTATAACAAACGCCACTGAATCGTAGCCAACAGTTACCAGCGCCGTACAAACGACTTATTGACGAGATCAAGCAAAACTAACTACGAGAGAACGACTGGAGAACTGACAATTTGACTAACAATAGACGACTGTTTAACTGTGACAATAGACGGATCGAAACGCACCAATTTATTACGAGTCTTCATAGCCAATAACATCAGGACTACGTTCACCCGGACGATCAAACTCAACCTACTTTCAAACCTTTCACAGATATTACATCTGATGGCTACAACAGAATGACACAAAATGCTTGGGTTCACACCTTGAATTGCAGGCAGCCGTTTGTATGTAACGGAATCCAATTAAGAGGGATGGAGAAGACTGAGGTAGCAAACGGCCACAACGAGAACAACAGCAATAATTAAGGCTAAGTTCATACTAAGGTCAGTATAAAACACGGACCACGGACTGCGGACTGGGTATAAAAAACGGACTAGGTAAAAACTTTGACTGCGGACTGCGGACTACGTTGGTAAAAAGGGTGCTTATTGGTTCTAGGTAAGGAAAAAAAGATCAAAAGATCCCTAAATAGAACGACACGTACGTTTAAGTTATAAATACACCTAGAAATTCTTGGTGGAGGTGTGCCGCTCGGTTCTTTGAATCATGAGCCTGACCAAAATTCTATGTTCTTCACCGATTTTTAGACCTCGTCTAGGTCTCTAACAATCATGAAAGGGGTTAGGACCCGGAGGGAGTACTCCCTTATTTAAGCCATATAGGGTATGTGCCGCCCCAAAGGATAGGGTTTTAGGCCTTTTTGGTCTGAAAACACCTTCCTCATTTTGGTCTGGATTCGAGGGAACTATGGGAGCGTACATGTATTTATCGTTTCAATTCCAAATGAATAAGAACGAAATAGAAATATGCGAACTCGAAATGCATTTGAATAATTTTTTGTTTGCGCTCCAATCTAGTTATGATGACATAATTTCTGCCTAATTAGGCCCAGCCTGTTCCAGGCTCCGAGATAGTTGGGTCCGCTAAATTGAGAAAGCGCGAACACGAAAAAGGAAAAAAAAACGGGAAGTAACCGGGGAGTCTCCCACACTATCTGAGAGCCTGATACAGGCTAAATTAGGCCAAGGGCCCGTTTCTCGAAAGTCCCGATAATTAAAGGGCCCGGTAAGCTGTCTCCATTTATATTAAAGATCGAGGTTTCAAAAGTTTTGCATCTGGCATAATAAAACTACCAGTTAGTGAAACAAAATGGTGTAGTTTGCTAGCCAGGACCCGCACTCTTACTCTTTATATTTCGATTAAAATATTTGATTTCGGGCCCGAAAAGTTACCGGAACTTTCGAGAAACGGGCCCCAGGTCTGAAAATGGGTGTGGATTTTAGACATCCGGTCTTAAAACGAGTGTGGAAAATGACATTTTTTCGTTTGAAATAGGGTCATGATTTGGAGAGCCGGGCGGCACACCCCAAGCAAGAATTACCAGTAGTACCCTCCTCCGGGGATCAGGGCAGGGTGTAAATCATGTCATCATAATCATCGCTTAGAATATAACGTTGGATGACTCATTTCGGTTATTATTGACGTATAGGTGAATAAACCCTCCCCTTTAAATACTGCTTTTTTACATCGCGGAATGCCCCTATATTGACCTTCTCGTGTGAGTTCTTCATTTTCTCATATTCCCAAGGCTTTATTTGAAACGGAATAGTGCCATCTATAAGAATTTTACTCCGGCTAACACCGATACTATCTTTTTTATTCGGTGCTTTTTACTGGTTTAATTGAATTGAATTCTCTTTCTAACTCCTACTTTATATAAAATTCCGAGTTTAATTTCAGTTGCCTTGAGTAGCGGCATAACCTTCCTTGTCCGTGAAGTATGTTTTTCTTCTCCACATGACGCTGACGTTGGGGAGAATAGACTGCGCGATCATGACCAGCTAAAGGAATGTTTCTGTCTAAGGCAAGGAGCTGGAACTACGGTTTTATGCTAGTCCACTTTCTCTCAGTTTTGCTTTTTTAAAGCTGTTTTTATAAACATAGTCCGTAGTCCGCGTCTTATACCTGGTCCGTGTTTTATACTCAGTCCGGAGTCCTCATTTTATATATACCTAGTCGGTGTTTTAAACCCCATCCGCGGGCAGTCTGTGGTCCACAGTACGCAGTTCGTGTTTTATACTGACCAGTTCACACTATACTGGATAGCTTTTCGTGACGACACAAAAAGCTATCCGGTAAAGTATGAACACCCATCCGGTATGTGACTCTCCTGTTTAGAGATCGGTGCGTCGCAGCTTTGCTTTTTCGGGCCGAAATCACCCTTCTTTGCGTGAACAGAAGCCCTATCCGGTATGCTGTTTTTTTTGTGCCTGCACAAACGCTCTCTGGTATAGAGTGAATGAAGACAATCTATAGCTTAAGATAGTGATACCCTGAGACACGGTCTTTCTCTGTTAAACTCCAAATGCTGGTCATTTTGTTTATTCACAACTTTGGTTGTCAGCTCCCGGACCGGGTGATTTTATTAAACGGTATTAGGACCGTTATCAGTGCCATAATTTGCCCAAAGAAGCCGTACTTGGAGTTGTTAAAAATTTAATACAAGGCTGCAGCTACAATTCTGTAGAACAAACTCTAACTTAAACATGCAGTCACAGTGTAGGGACCTTTAGCATTAAGGTCATTTCCCAACCCTTCTCCTAGAATCATAGTAGTGGTGGTGTTACGAGGCAGCTCTTTAAAACTTCGTTATATTTTGCAAGCTATGCAAATACCGTATTTCCTGGAACAAGCGCCCCAGCTCAGCTAAAAGGAGAGGTGCTTAAAGGAAGGAGGGCGCTTAATAAGGGAGGCGCTTATTAACTTTTCCTTTCAACAAACGGTATTTCTATTTTGGCTAAATGCATCTTAACGCGTTTGGTGGTCTCTCCTGTGCGTTCATTTTACCTTTTTTTGATTTAACCTGTTACACATCTGTGTACCGTATGAATGCTTTGATAACATTTTTATACAAAACAAGAACGGATTACGCTCACAAAAGTTCGTGTACTACAGTTCGTAACTAGAGCATATCCCTTTTTATTAGCGCCTGCAACAACGATTCTCGCTTTTTTTTCGTCATCAGTCGTTTTAGTCCAATGGGGTCTTCGTCTTATCATTTAGTCCAAGGGGTCTTCGTTTTAGTCCATGGGGTCTTCGTTTTAGTTCATGGGGTCTTCGTTTTAGTCCATGGGGTCTTTGTTTTAGTCCACGGGGTCTTAGGTCTTAGGTCTTCGTTTTAGAAACACCCCACCTCCGACGGGACGTGAGCAAGGAAAAAGAAACAGATTTTAACAAAGGAATTTTTCATCTTAACTATGGAAAAACTACTCTCCGATCTTAACACGCAACTACAAGTTCTCGAATTTACAAAAGGGAAAAGTGAAGCGATCGTTGCTGAAGGGAACCTAGAGGGAATGGAGCTTCATCTCAATACGCTTAGATCAGCAATAAAACGAGTTGAAGAGTGTGAAGTGCAAGTAGAGCAGGCAAAAATCGCAAATGGCGAATCATTCGAGGAGGTTGCAGAATGGAGTCTAGGGGTGGAAAATAAACAAACAGCTGCGGACGTGAACATCGAATACTTAAAGAAGTGCTTAGCTGAAGGAAAGCAAAGGGATAACCTCTTAGCAAAGGAGACCGAAGAAGCCATTTTACAGAAGTCTAGGAAGAAAGAACTGGAGTTCGAGCAAACACAACTTGACATGAAGCTGGCATATGAGAAGAAAATAGAGGAGGCGAAAATGAGTCACGCAAAGACCACAGAACCATCTCCAAGTCAAATGAAAACCGCAATTGACGGACTGGCTCCGTTTTTGGAGTCAATTTGAAGCCGAAATCGACCGAGCTGAAGTGCCTGGCGTGATAAACTATTCTTACCTAAAAGAGTTGGTTGATTCCAGGATAAGAAAACAAATCGATGGCTTGCCGTTCTCATCTAAAGGCTATGAACGGGCAAAAAACATCCTTAAAAGGAAGTGTGGCAAGCCGAGCGAAGTGGTCAACGCGTACGTAGAGAATATCATGTCTTTGCCTACAATCAATGGTTCTAAGCCGAATAAAATACACGAGTTTTATGAGAAGCTTTTATTTAACTTGCAGTCATTGGAAACAATGGGAAAACTTTAAGAGGTAAATGGATACGTCCAGATGACCATCGACAAACTTCCAGGGATAAGAGGAGATCTTGTTCGGACGGATGACTCTTGGCGAGGATGGAACTTTTGCCCAGTTGGTCGACGAGTTCAGGAAATGGACGGAAAGGACGTCCCAATCCAAACGAAGTTAAATGAGAAGCCGTTACGTGACAAGTCTTACCAGACACAACAGAAAGACGAGCGAGGTCGTGAGTGTGTTTATTGTGAAAAACCCGATCACAGGTCAGTTGATTGTAAGACAGTGACCACGCTAGACGAACGCAAACGGTTGCTAAGTAACACTCTGTTTTAATTATACCGGAAGCAAACACAGGGCCGTAGATGCAGAAGTCGTTTTTTGCGCCAGATTTGCCAGAAAAGGCATCACACTTCTTTCTACGATAGGCTTGGAGACCAGTTAATGAGAGCCACCTCTCTGGGAAATTCGACCGTGATATATCCAGTTGTTGTGGTTGAAAAACAAGGAGTAAGTGTCGCGCGCTACCGGACACTGGTGCTGGAAGTTCATACACTTCAGCGACGTTGATTGATCGTTTGAAAATTCGCCCTCACCAACGCGAGGTACGACAAATTGAGATGATGAGCTGCTATCTCTTGAGAATCCTCGCTACAAACAGTGCCTTGACAAGTACAAACATCTGAAGGGAGTAGAAATGGATGATTTGGACACTAAAGATGTACTGCCAGTACACCTTATCCTAGGAGCAAGTCACTATGCTAGGATCAAGACTGAGACAGCGCCACCCATTGGAGCTTTGAACGAACCTATAGCAAAGACGACCAAGCTCGGGTGGACAATCATTTCTCCGGGAAAAGAAGTTGATCTGACCGCTATGCTTATGACGCAAACGTCAAGCCTCGATTACGAAACGTTGTGCAGACTAGACGTATTGGGGATCGCAGACAGTGCCAGTGGTGACGAAGACGAGGTATATTCAGAGTTCAAGGAACCGTTGAAACGGGACGAAGATGGGTGGTACGAGACCGGGCTTCCGTGGAAAGGGAACCACCCATCCCTCCCAAGCAACGAAGCAGGAAGTCTTCGTAGGTTAACCAGCCTCGTGAAGAAGTTACGCAGCCAAGGTATAATAGAGCGCTATGATCAAGAGATCCAAGACCAAATCAAAGCAGGAATTGTTGAACGAGTTACTGGATCTGCAACCGGGCAAGGTCACTTTACATCCCTCACAAGGGAGTGGTACGCGACTCAGCAGAGACCACCCCGCTTCGAGTACTTTACATCGCGTCAGCGAGAGCGTATTCTGGTGCCCCGTCCTTGAATGAGTGCTTAAAATCCGGACCGCCCCTTCAAACAAGTTGTGGAGTGTCTTAGTTCGTGCTCATTTTCACCCGATCGCAGACACAGGGGACATAAAGCAAACCTTCCTACAAGTCCGAATCATGGAGCAGGACCGTAATGCACTAAGATTTCATTGGCTGAAGACCTGAACAGCAAAGGTTGACCATAGCACTCTCCGGCCTCACATCTTCGCCGTTACTCCTAGGAGGAGTGATACAACATCTGTTAGACAGCTTTAGAGAAAGGTACCCAGAGATTGTCCGAGAGATCGAGAAAAGTTTATACGTAGACGGCCTTATCAGTGGAGCCCCTACAAGTAAAAAAGCGAAAGTTATCAAATCAACGTCTACAAGCATATCTGCAGAAGGGACATTCGAGCTGCATAAGTGGCACTCAAACGTGAAAGAATTAGAAGCAGTAAGTTTGGAGCCTGTTCTCGAAGAGGAAACTTATGCTAAGGAGCAGTTGAACATCCCCAGAAGAGAAGGAGCTTCCTTACTTGGCTTACCATGGGATAAAGAAAACGACAATATTACCGTGAGCTTTCCACTGGAGAAAGCTAAACCTACAAAGCGTGGAATCCTTAGCAAGGTCCCAAGGATATATGATCCACTGGGACTGGCATCTCCCATCTCATTGGGAGGTAAACTCCTTTACCGTGACGTGTGTGACGCTAAACGTAACTGGAACGACAAGCTACCAAATGAATTGATGCAGAACTGGGTACAGTGGTAAGAAAGACTACCAGAGCAGCTTACAGTACCAAGATCCTTAGCAGTCCATCAAGAGGAAGTTCAGTCCATTGAGTTACACGCTTTCGGAGATGCTAGTGGGAAGGGTGTGGCCGCTGCCGTGTACGCTGTAGTCGTACAGGAGTCGGGCGTTAACTAGGGACTTGTGGCTGCACGAGCAAGGCTGGCAAAGAAAGGTTTAATCTCCTGACGGACGTGACTGAAGCCTTGGAGGGATTTCCTTTAACCGCAAAGTACTGCTGGCTCGACAGCACCGTAGCATTGTACTTGATCAAGTCTCGAGGCGAATACAATCAGTTCGTTAGCAACAGAGTACAGAAGATTCAGTCACTCTCAGAAGTAATCTGGCAGCACGTAGGGACCACTAAGAATCCTGCAGATATTGGAAGCCGAAGCGGAGAAGTGTCAAATCATCCTTTATGGTGGAAAGGGCCGCAGTGGTTGCAACATAGGGTGCGCTGGCCTCCAGATATTGTACCAAACGCCTGTCAAGAAACACTGGCAGAAGCTAAAGCGATACGAGATGTCTTTGCTGTGGCAATAGCAGAAACAGATGAGCTGGACACGCTCCTCGAAAAATTCAGTTATTGAAAAGTGATGAGAATCTGCGCGTGCATAACGCGATTTATCCGCAACGCTCGTTCAGCGAAAATGAGAAAACTGACCGGGCCACTGACAACTGAAGAAACTAACAAGCCAAACGTATTTTGGGTAAAACGAGTCCAGACTAGAGCCCCATTGGACAAGTATTATTAAGAAGATCAATTGCAACTGAATCTACAACCAAACTCAGAGGGCGTGTTGGAGCGTCGAGGTGGAATCCAAGGACGCTATCCAGTGTACCCACCTGATAGTCGGCGCTACTCCGAGAAGTTTGTAACACAAGCTCATCTCGCAACGCTCCATGGGGGAGTCATCAGTACCATGGCCAAAGTGCGAGAACAGTATTGGGTACCGCGTTTAAGAAGGTTGACGAAAAGAGTCGTGAAGAACTTCCACGGGTGTCGACGATTTCAAGCGCAAGCTTTCTCGTTCCCTCCCCAAGGAAACCTCCCAAGGGATAGGACAGAAGGGCAAACTCCTCTCCAAGTCGTTGGCGTTGATTACGCGGGCCCGTTGAAGTATCGAAAAGGAGCGAAAACATCCTGCCTCGTGCTTTGTTCTTGGAATTGTTACCCAGTCTGGAAACTACAGAGTTCCTCGCAAGTTTCAAGCGTTTCAGTGCCCGGAGGGGAAGACCCCAAAAGGTGTATTCCGATAACGGGAAAACTTTCGTCGGTGCAGCCAAATGGATCAAGCAAGTAATGCGAGATAAGAAGTTCCAAAATTTCCTCGCCCACCAGGGGATCCAGTGGCAATTCAACTTGAGTCGTGCGCCCTGGTGGGGAGGACAATTGGAGAGAATGGTGGGACTGTTCAAAGGAGCTCTTCACGAGTCCATTAGAAACGGGATGCTGTTCTGGCCTGAACTTCAAGAAATATTGTTGGACATAGAAGTAGCTCTAACAACAGACCACTGAGTTATGTTGACGACGACATTCAGCTACCAATCCTTACCCCAAGTTCTTTCCAAGTTCTTTCCTGTATGGCCAACCGAACATGTTACCAGAGCTAGAACCTCACCACATCCAATAAACCTGACCTTCGGAAGCGGGCTAAGTATTTGCGCAAGTGTAAGGATGCCCTGTGGTCGCGCTGGACAAGAGAAAACCTGCGTGGGCTCAGGGAGAGGCACCGCCTAAAGCACAAGGAAAATTCAAGTTACCTATCAATAATAATAACTTTAATAGTAACATCCTCGTGAGGTTTTTCAGGAACTATTTACAATCGATTTACAATTTATAAAAGCAAAAATGACTATAAAAACTCGAAATCACAATTTATGATGGTATTCTACTAAATTCTAGAACTTATGAAGGAAATGTCTGCCTCAATAGTGTGTCTTTCAGGGCGCGCTTGAAAGATGCCAATGAGGCACTTTGCCTGAGTTCATTATGCAAGTTATTCCATGTGTAGGCCCCTCTGTAGGAAAATAAGCGCTGGCCTATAGCCGTTCTGTATAGCGGAATCTGCAAAGAGTTCCGTGTACGAGTAGAACGAGTATGTATATTTGAACGCTTGGTAAACTTGCTCGTTAAGTATTGAGGCGCAAGATCGTTCTGACATTTAAAGGTCAAAACGGAGTCTCTATAGAATAATTGTTCTTTAACAGGAAGCCAGTTTAGCTCTCGAAGCAAAGGTGTTACGTGGTCAAACTTCCTAGAGTTTGTTACGATCTTGCTGGCAAAATTCTGAATAGATTGTAATCTGTTTATATTCTGGAGTGTAGTATTTGACCATACAGATGAGCAGTAAAGCATCTTACTAAAGACTAATGACGTTATTAACAACTCTAGTGTTTCCTTGTCGAAGCTCCTTTTGACTCTATTTATTTGGCAAAGCTTTGCGAAACAATATGACACTACACATGAAATATGGTGATCGTAGGTCAGATGGGGGTCAAGAAAGACTCCCAAGTCCTTGGCAGAGACTGTTGGCTTCAATGTTTTACCTAAGAATACCACTCTAGGGTCTTCTGGTAACCTGCTTAACATCTGTCTGGTACCGAGGAAAAGGAGTTT